CCAAAAAAAACCAAGGATCTCTTGATGATTTCATACAATTCCAAATGAACGAAATCACCAGACGAGGTAGAGCGAGAATGATAAGAATGCATGGACTTATGATTAGATGCTTGTGTTCATGTATTTGTTGACGTAAATGTTGCCTCAGAGTCAATTGTTTACGAGCAGTGGATCTTTTATGAGCCACTTGAACGATGATAAAAACTGCTGAGATGAAGTTAATAGAAAACGGAACGATAAAATGTATAATGTAAATGACCCAGTTAAAGATCTGAAGATTGGGTGAATACGTCGCCACGCACCAGGTACGCTGCTCCTCTGTATCATCAATCAACTTTCGGTGCAGAGGATCATGTATAGCAGTAGTGGCATTGAACAGCAGAACAGCGCCAACAATCCATTTGGCAATTCGCTTGCTCTTTTTCCTATTGAAGTTTACATCGAAAGACACCATGAGTGCACGCTCGACAGCAATACAAGCGGAAAGCCAATCACCCACAGGAGGTAAGAATTTAAAGAGAAACTCGATCCACATGCAGTTGATCTGAAGAGTAGACCGATGAATGATTAAATTCATTTGAGAAAGGACAAGGAGCCAAAATTTGAAAACGATTATAGTCATAGTCAAAAGAGAAATCATCGACGATACTGATAAATAAAATCCGCATCCAGTTTCACGTATCTTCTTCCGTCGAAAGGTGAGAATTGACAGGATGCTACTCACTAGGCTTAATGCAAACATTGCTGTTGTGATAGCAATGCTCATTTGTATAACGGCAGATTGATGAAGAATGGAAATATAGGGATTGATGTGATATCCAATAATAGTGTCAAGAGAGAGTCCACTACCTTTGGTGGTGAGTTGACATCTCGTACCATAGTAACATTCTGCGCATGCACACAGAAATGCTGTAGGACATGAAGGATGATCTTGAAAGCAATTAGCTCCATTTTCACAATACTTCGTCGCTTGACAGTCGTAGGTCATATTGTGAGCGAATTCGAAACAGTTAGCATGGCGTTCATCAGTACACAGACACATGAAAGTTTCATCATAGAAACACGGCAATTCACGTAGTTCTTTGCATAGCATATGATAGTATTTCACACGTCGCCGTAGTGAATGAACGAGCAAAGTAGAGTTCAATACCTCATGAAGCGGAGCACATCGCCGAGCGGGCGTGACTATGGGTTGAAAGTGAGTGAATGGTATGTAATTAGTTTGCACTATAAGCAAATAGTAATCTGAATGGATTTGTCCAAAGAGCAGATGGAATGGAGTTGATATGTACAGACTAACAATGTTTCGATCTATTGGAATTTTCTTTAACATACTTCTATGCAGAGGATCTTCGTTGCTTCGTACGGTTATAAAATGACCTTGGATAGAGCTTGGTATCGGCAATCCCTTGAATGAAATATCGATTCGAGAGTCTTGAAGGTGGCATGTCGGTCCAGAAAAACCCTCAGCGCAGAGGCAAGTGAAGTTGTGTTGTGAAATGCGCTCATCAACAGGCACGCATTGTCCACCATATTTACATGGATTTGGTTGACACGACGAATGAGTTAGATAGCATCGTGAACCATACTTGCTCATAGGACAAACACAGATTGAGCGATTGTTGACGCATCCGACACAGTGCGAATTAGACGAACAAGTACATAGCATTTTAATTGTACATAAAGGACCCGACCAGCCAGAATCACATTGACAGAACTGTTCTGACGTAGTCGCGTAAGTAGCACACGTACCATGATGACATGGGTGTGTGCAGCCATCAGCCTGTCGAGCAGGAATAGTAAGTAGAGCTGACAGACGATTGACAGGCAAGAAAGAGAATCGAACTGGCAAGCGCCAGCTTGTTCTGTAGTTCAGTGTGTCCTTCACAAATAGATCAATTCGTACCGAATAGTTTCTCATGGACGATTTAGGCCGCGTTTGATACAGAAGATACACATGGAATTTAGCGTCACAATCACGTGCAGGTACATACAGTATTTGATCATAGGAATGAATGTTTTCCAATTCATCGATAAGAGTGATTACAAAATTGAATACGGTGCGCCGTTCTTGTGTTCGAAAGCTTAGCGTTAGACTCACACGTTGATTCTGATATTGACATGTGCTTCCGTAATAACTTGGTGGACATAGACATTTCTTTTGGTTGTTATTCATTCGGACAGAAATGCCACGGTTGCAAGACCATGCTCGAATATAGTCGATCGATGAATATTGTGTAGCAATCGGCCGAACCGGTTGTTGCAATGTAATATTCTTCGATTGATTTTGTTGCTCATTTGACAATGAGAAATAGATAGTTGCACGTTTGGCATTGTCATTGAGACTGCATAGCATTATTTTACCAATATCGCGTTGAGCAGCTCCTTCTGCAGAACAGAAACCTAGAATATTTCCAGCAGAATCTGTATATCTTGAACAGTTCCATTCATCATCGCCTAGTGGACAATTTTTCTGATCAATTTGGCCACAAACATCGTATATAGGTACGCACGTAGTATGATTCAAGCAGAGATATCGATAACTTTTGTCTTTGACGGTGTTACGACAAAACGCACGTTCATCTACTCCACCACGACAGTCAACTATCCCATCATCTGTACGATTTAGTGGTAGACAGATGAGTTCATTAGTTTGGACAGAAAAGCAGGGATGTTCGTTCGAATGGCAAGGTGAACGATGACACCCGAGTTCGTCAGCACCATTGTGACAATTCCAGACATTGTCACAGCGAGTATAAAGATTACTGCACGGCCATAGCTCGCAGTTAGTCTCATCGGTTTCATTTTGCTCATCACTGGGCATCTCTGTGAAACCGTCGCATAATATAGAAAATGAGATACGCTCTTGCTGTTGACGTTGAACTGGCGTGACCTCATCTTGACCAGTGGTCAAACAGTGCACAATACCGTCCTGTACCAGGATAGGTGCGATACATCGGCTTTGGTTTTC